GCAGCCTCTCCACATTCCAGCCCAGGTGGAGGCAGGGAAAAATGAGAAAGTTTTTCTCCAAATGCGTGCTCTGACTTGACTTCTAAGGCGCCTGGTGCCCCTCCCAACAAGACCTCCACCTCGGCTCCCATCCCAGTCTGCTCCCTCCGCCCCTCTATCTTTGCTCCCTCTTTTCCCACCTCCCAGAGGAAGGGAGGCTGAAGATTGCTGTCCAACTGCTGCCCCTTCACCCCTCACCCCACCACATTCCTGGCAGCTGGCCTGAGGGCACCTTCCCCTCTCTTCTCCTCCTAGGCCCCACCTTTCTGCTTCCAAGTCCCTTGCCTACACTCCTGGCAAACCTTAGTGGGGTGATATCCAGTTCTGAAGCCTGCCCTCCCATCAGGGGGGTCTCACCTCCCTCCCCCACCCCTTTTCAAATGCTCCCTGATGCCTTAGACCCGCCCAGCCCACTTCCTCCTGGGCTGCCCCTCTCGGGCTAGTTCCAGAGCTTCCGTGGGAAACCTAGGCATTCCTTCCTCACTTCCTGAGCACCTGCCCTGTGTATGGCCCCAGCCCCTTGCAGCCTTCCTAACCTCCAACCCTTCCACCTGTATTTATTTATTTGCTACCTATTTGATCATATTAGGATTTGGGTTCCCCAATGGCAGGTCTTGTCTTTTTTTTTTTTTTTAAATGCTTGCTCTTTTTCTGCACACAACCGACTTGTTAAATATCTGTGGATTGACCAACACATGGATGGATGTGTCACTCTGGCTCTGACTCAGTCATATAGCATGGTCTTGCGTCACTTTCAGTGAGCAGGCAGGCCACAACCCACCCATGCTGTCATCTGACCAAGAGCCCAGAAAGGGCAACCGGCTTCTACAAGGTTACAGGGAACTCAGCTCTGAGTTCCAGCCAGGGCTTTGCCCCTACCTGGACACATGAGCCTGGCCTTTACCTCTTTATCAGCTCACCTCAAAATGACTTGGAGGGACCCCTCTCCTTCACTCCACAAATATTGGAGATTCTGCAGTACAAAGGTGGGGGGTGGCTCCCACACGCTCTACAAGCCAGCCCGGAACAAAAACATAGCTGCTCACTTGGCTCCTACAAGTCTCAGTTCCAACCATGAGGGCAGCATCAGGATCAGCTGTTCTTGGGGACTTGGGCACTGTCTCTAAGGGACCACAGAGGTTTGTCTGCACCTGTGAGAGGGACAGGCCCAGGTCTCAGGCCAGCTCTTAGAGAAGAGGGTGTTTCTGCTCCCCTGAGTCCCCAAAAGAGCCCTGAATTGGATACGTAACTGAGTCCAGAGTCTGGTACCCCCAGGACTCTGCTCTAAGCAGTCAGTGATTGAATGCCATCACCCATTGGAGCCCTTGGCTTTGTTTTCACCGCCTGACCAGCTGGACCACACTTAATCTGGTGTTTAGTCCAGTGTTCAAGGCCATAGGCCCAGTGTTTGGGGAAAGCCACCCAAAGTTGGCCTTGGGGGAACTATCTTATCCCCAGGGCTAGCAGGGAAGTAGAAGGTAGCTGAAGGAGGGGAAATCAGACATGTGTCTGCCCAAGGGAAGCAACGTCTTTTATTTAATTTTTATTTATTAATTTCCATTTTTTTTGAAAGGCAGAAAGACAGAAATGCTTTTCATCCACTGGTTCACTGCCAGAATGCTCACAATAGTCAGGGCTGGCCAGGCCAAAGCTAGCAGTCTAGAATTCAATTTGTGTCTCTTACATGGGTGGCATGCTCCCCTGAGGCATCCCTTCCTGCTTCCCAGGTTATGAAGTAGTAGCAGGGAGCTAGAATTGGTAGCCGAGCTCTGATGGGAAACCAAACACTTCAGAACAGTCATCCGGGGTGGCATTTTAACGGCTGCAGCAAGCTGCCTTGTCTTTAATTAATCCAGCCAATGCTTACCCTTGCTATGGGTTTCCTATTCCACAGGACTCTATTTCTAAATGGCCAGGTGTGGAAGCTGGAGGAAGTCCCTGTGCCAGCTTTGTATTAAGGGGCTCTGATGGCAGTGCTGGGGAGGTGGGCCCTATAGGGAACGAACTGGCTTATGGAAAGTGTGGCGGTGACCTGCAAACACGCCTACTACAGTTTCCAGACTAACTCACCAGCCCTTTATCTTTGGCACAGCTGCCAGACAATCTCCCTTCTGTTACACCCACACAAAAGGGACCCCTCCCTTGCCGGGCTTGGGCTGACCCTGCTTTCCAGCCTACTACCCTGGGCAGGCCTTCAGGCTTGGCATTTGGGTCAGGCGCCTCCACCCTTGGTCAGCACTGGTTCCTGCCCATTTTGATCAGGCCTGGAGGATGGATCAGCAGCAGCAGTAGTCTTCCTCCTCCTTGGGGGAAAACCTGAGGTCCAACATTGTTTTTCAGGAATGTGCCAGAATCAAAAGTCCCGGAATTCTAGAATTAGAGGAATGCTCTGGGCATGTAAACATACACTGGATTTGGTCGGAGCTGGAACCAAGGTCTCAACTCAAATCATATCAGCCCTAAGCAAACACTGGGGTATTCGCCTTGGACCTTGCACAGAGCCTGGACCCATGAGAGGCCAGAGGGGATGCCAGGCAGGGAGTAGCCCAGTTCCTTCCTTCTCAAGCAGAAAGTCTGCTATCTGCAGGTTATTAGGCAGTGGTTACAAAGTGGAGCCTCAGTTGATGTCCAGCACTCATGCTGCAGGGGAAGGGACAAAGCTGGGTGTACTGGGGTGGGGGTTGGGGGGGAAGCATTTTAATGGAGGCAGCCCTAGGGGCTGAAAGCTCAGGAGGCCTGAGAAAGATGTCAGGCCTGAAAAATCTCATTTTGGATCAGTCTTGCCCAGGCCTTGTGGGTGTCTGCTGCTCCTGGGCATTCCCTGCTCCACACTGGTCTGCCATGGGTTGTGAATACCAGGCCCGGCCTGGAATCCTCAGCAGGGTTCCAAGAGTGAGTGAGGACTTTGTGCTGATTCTCAGAGTGGGCTGGAGTTAGGCTCAGCCTGGCTCATCTCAGGGTTAGCCACGAGTTAAAAGTTGTGACTTCCAGGAGCCTCACACCTGTAGGAGCAAGGCCTGGAAAGGACTGGAAACAAACTCTGGCTCCTTCTCTGGGCTCAGAGCTTCATCTACCCTGGGGTACCAGTTGGACAGGACACCTCCCTTAACCAAGGCTCTAGGGCTACCTAGGCATAAAGCCCCCTGGGATGCTAGGGGTCAGAAGGAGACTTAATACTCGATCTAACCAAAGCCGAGGTCAAAAAGGAAGACAGAGCTGGCACCTGTGGCATCTATGAGGTCTAGAGTGGTTTGCTGCTGCTTTTGTGGGTGACAGGTGGGGGGTGCCTCTTGAGTCTGCACCCATGGTGTGTTTTTATTTTTCAAAATCAGAGATCCATATTTATGAATTTTCAGGCTGAACTTTGCAGAACTTCAGGCTGCCAAGCAGTGTCTGTTGTGCTCGGGGTGGGCGGCAGATGAAGCTGAAGGGGCAAACGAGGAAAATAGATTCTGCAGAGAAACCCAAATAACGTCTTGCTTCTCAAAGCAGCAAGATTTCAGAGATGGATTTGATGCCATTGAGTTTTAACACCTAAGGTATGATTTGAGGCTTTCTTTTCCCCCTTGGTTTTTATTATCTCTGAATGAGGTTTGGAGACCATGGAAAGCAGGCAGGTGGGTTTGGGAAGTGGCGAATTGTGTTTTGTTCTTTCTGAAATTTGCTTTTCCCAGACACTCCTGAGGAGGAGGTGAAAGCAGGAGAACCCCAGAACTATCTGGCATTCAGGGACAACCCCAGCTTCCCCAACATTCCACCCCCAATTGCCCTGGGCAGGTGGCAGTTAGTTCTGGGTTCAGAACGTGCTCAAGGAGGAGAGTAAGGGGCTGGAATTCCAGTCTGGTCGCATGCCAAAGAGTGAATGGACCATTCTGCTGGGATGGGGGTGGGGAGTGGAAGGGAGGGGAGCTCTTCCCAGAGCCCATTCCCAGATCCCTGCCCCATGTGGTCTGTTGGGAGCTTTTTGAGGAACCCTGCTCAATTCCGCTCTGCTCAATTCTGCCCTAGGAAGAAGGCCAGAGCTCAGCAGATAGCTCCACTTTGTACACTCTTTACCCCCACCCAAAGAATGCAGGCCACAGGAGTGAGTGACCTGTGCTTCTGGCGGTCAGCTATTTTGGGCGCCTGAGGAGGCACCAGGCAAGGGGGAGGGGTTGGGGATGGTCTTGAGGTGGTGCTTACTGGTTTCTGGCTAGGGCTTTAGGAAATGGGCTAACCCCTCTGGGCCCTGGCCCGTTTCCCCCATCAGTGTAAGGGCAACCAGCCTTTCATCCTTCACAATTCAGAGGCGGCTTTTTTCATGGCTTCTAATTACCTCTAGATTTGCGTTCGAGGAAAAATTTAGGAGGGCCGAAAGCCATCTACGGGTGGCCAGCTGTGTCCGCTCTGGTCCCCAAGCCTGATCATCCCCGGTTCGTTTTGGAGGCGCAAAAGCCTGAGGTTAAGGCGGGATGCCCTTCCTCCACGGCCACCCTGCACTCCACACCCCTCCCTTTTCCCGAGCGTTCCGGGCCACCAGGACTGGCCAGGGCGTGTCTCGGAACGGACCTGGCTGGCCGAGGGGGCGGGGCTTGCTCGGGGAGGCGTGGCCTGGCCGTGGCGGGCCAATGAGCAGAGAGGCCCGGGCTTGGGCGTGGCCTGCGCGCGGGTGCGGCGCGCTGCAGGGCGGCCGACGCAGGCAGAAGCTGGCGGCGCGCGGACGGCCCGTCGGCGCCTCGCGGAGCCGGCGGCGGGATTGGTCGCGGGCCTCGCGTGTCAGGCGGTTGCTAGGCTCCGGCCGCGCGCCCCGCCCTCGCGCTCGGCGCCCTCTCACCGCCCGGTACGTGCTCGCGCGGAGGCTGCGGCGCGGCGCTCGCGCTCCTTGGGCTCGGGGGCGGCAGCCAGAAGCAGCTTCGCGCCGAGTTCCCGGGGGAGCGGCGGCGGCGGTGGCTGCGGCTTTGGTGGCGGCGGCGGCGGCGGTGGTGGCGGCGGCGGCGGCGGCGGCGTCCTGGGGCTGGAAGGACGGGAACACCTGCCGCGGCTCGCCCGCCGGCGCTGGGTGAGTGCGCCGCACGCCCCCCGCCGCCGTGCCTAGGGCTGCTGGGGGTGGGGACGGCCCTCAGTCGGTGCTGCCGGCCGAGCCTTCGGGGGAACACCTGCTGCTGCTGGCGGTTCGGCCCCGGGGCGGGGACACGGGCCGCGGACGTCCTTGCGGGGTGAGGAGGCGGCGCCGCCCGGGCGGAGCCGCCCCTCCGCTCTTGGTCCTAGCAGCCAAAGCTCGGAACGTTCGGGCGGCCAGGCCCGGGCTGCGTGCAGCGGCGGTGGACCAGGCCATCGCCCGGCCCGCGCTCCCGGGAACGCGGGGCCTGCTCGTCTGCCGCGGGTGTGTGTGCGTGCGCGGCCTGCGGGCCGCCAGCCGGGCTTCCAGTTGGGGGGGTCGCGGCCCAGTTGGGCCAGATCCCGACTCGGAGGCGTCGGGCCCCGGCCGGAGTCAGGGAAGGGCATGGCTGCTGCCTCTCCCTTGAAACTACTCAGAGCCTGGGTGGGGGCGTGTGTGTTGGAGGGGGTCCCCTCTCCCCAACTTGAGCTCCTTTGGGAACCTACTTAACTACCTTCTCATCTTCTTCACTTGGTAATGGCAAATGCTGGGTTCACTCGTGAATATGTGCAATATGTGTGGAGGATATCCCCAGAGAAAAGACAAAACCTTTTTTCCCCCCCATAAATGCCGAGCGAATTTCATTAGCAGGCTCAACTGATGGTGTGTAACACTGCATTGTTAGTCTCTTGAAAAGCTCCTAATCTGTGTAAAAGGAATTACTTGTGAAGTAGTTTTGACGGTGAGGAGTCATGAAGTTTTTGCCCTCCTGGTACTATAGCCTGGGGCAGTGTCTCCTACACTGGAATTCTGAAGTTCCAAGTGCGTCCTGCTCTTTTCCCCTAAAAAAAGTGAAAAGAAGCGATTCCTAGTGTGGAAGCCAAACTCGCTGAGAGTGTGTGTATAGGATGGAAAATAAGGTTCCAGGTGTTTTTGAAAAGTCTGGGGTAGATGGGATCATTTTTTTTTTTCAGGTTGCTCTATGTTTAGTGCTCAGAGACATGATAATTTTGGAATGTTCCTGTTCCAAAAAAGAATTTGACCTTACCATACTTTTGGAGGCATTTTAAAAAAAATCCATAGCTGGAATCTGGAGTTGAACTTTATATTGCCTTGCAGCTGAGGAAGGCGAGCTCATAGCCTGGGTGCCTATGAGGGCTCAGGGGCTGTTTGTTGGAGAAATCCGATTTCAGTTGGGCATTGGGTGCATGGAGTGTGCCAGTTCGTGGCCTATGGGATTCTGTGTAAAGGTCATAGTGAACGGTGCCACAGGAAATAAAGAACACTTGGTTGGAACATGAAAGTTGTTGCTGAAGGGCAGAGGACAGTCCTTGCTACTTAAAAAAAATGTTGACTTGCTCAAGTGTGTTAAAAAATCTTTGGCTTCACTACTACTTGCAAAACCCTGTGGTAGATCCTGTAGACCCAAGGAAAAGTATCTGGTTGTTCCCTGAAGGAATGCAGTTTGGGGGGCCCGGGGGTATCAGAGAACCCCGGAACCTGCATGATTAATAGTAATTGCTCACTAAATGTGCTCACCAGGCGGTCTGGAGAGAGGGAATTCCTGAGCTGTGTGAGGTTTTTTTTTTTTTTTTACCTGCAGGAATTAGCTGAGGGACATCAAGGCTAGGGCACAGGGAGCCACGGGTATAGGAGTGCCTAAAATAGTGCCAGGGAGTCTTCCAGCTTGGCAGGCCGGAGCCCTGGGCCATCCTTGTTGTGCTCAGTTCTTCCTTCATCCTTCAGGGTGCTGGAACCTAGGAATGCTGTAAATCTGCTGGGTGGCCTAATCCAGACCTGTGTTTAGAAAGATAAAGCTGGTGGCCATCTAGGGAGTAGCCAAGGGGGAAACAGGGTCAGGATTTCTGGCAGTGAAGTCAGCACACCGAGGAGAGGTGAGGGAGCTGGAGGAGGAACCTTGGGAGAAGAGAGGCTTATTAGGTGGATAGTGCAGAGGCTACCAGGAACCCGGGGCAGGGAGAAACCTGCATTCAGCAATGCTGGATGCCCGGCGGGTTTGCTGGTGTTCTGTTAGTGTAGCTGCTTAGATTGGAGGTCTGGCATTGGGTAAAAACCTCTCTTGCTTGAACCTGGGGCATTGCATTGCCTCTTGAGTGTAGCAGGTTCCTGCCCTGGAGAGAGGAGAGCTGTTGAGGAAGATGGAGCAAGTTCAGGCTTTGATGTTTCCTGCCAGGTCCTCAGGTTGGGGACAGGAGAGGAGGGGCCAACCTCAATTGTAGCCCAGGTCCTTCTCTGTTTCTGCTGTTCATCACTGGTTCATCAGAGCCTGGGATCTTGGCTGAGGAAACTGAGTCACAGAAGAAGGAATGTGCCCAGGGTTAAATAACTGTCATATGGCACTGGCAGAATTGGAACCCAATTTGAATTTTTTTTTTTGGTCTTAGGTTTATTTATCTGAATGGCAGTTACAAGGAGATACATTTGTACACAGAGAAAGATGGATCCATTGTCACCTGATTCACTGTGATAACCAGCGTTCCAGGGGAGGGGAACCAGGTGCCTCATCTAGGTTTCCTCGTGGGTGCCACGGCTCAAGTACTTGGGCTGTCTTCTGCCTTCATAGCACGTTAGTGGGGAGCTGAGTGAAGAGTGGAACAGCTGCAAGCAAGGGTAGGGTGTCAGTAGGGTGCTTTGGTGGAGCCTAAGCCTCGTTGTCTGTAAGTCAGGGATCTTGCAGAGAACAGCAAGGGTGTGATGATGGACCGTTCTCAAAACCAAGGTCCAGTGGGATCCTTCCTGGAGTCTGTGCTGCTTGCTCTGGGAACTGGGCTCGAGTCATCCCAGGAACTTTGGTTCTGTGTCCGGGGGGGAATTTAACAGGTTTGAGCTGACCCTCAAGAAAGGCTGCTTTGGTGAAGAAGCTGGTGACGGGAAGGTCACAGCTGTGTGCTAGGAGAGGAGAAAAGCAAAGACAAAGGATGGGGAAAGAGGAGACTGAGCATGGGGTGTTCTGGAAGCTTGAATTGGGGCCACTGTGGCATGGAGGAGTTTGGAGTTATGCAAGAACAGGGAGCCGTGTGACCTTCTTGGGGTCCAGCTGTGGTGAGGTTGACTCCAGATCATAAGAAGCAAGCCTCCTGTGTTTCTGTGGAGCATGGAGAGGTTGTTGGTCACTGATTGGGAAGCAAGGACAGAAGCTAACTGGGGTGGACAGGTCCTCAGCTTAGCTCAAGACAAGTAGGTTCTGCAGGTGATTGGGAGCTTAAAAGATGCTATGCCCCAGCAGATGCCTTCACCTTTTTAAAGTGCTGGTGAGAAGAGGAGGAAGGCGGGTAGCATCTGCCAGTCACTGAGCAGAACTTTAGAGATTTGGAGCAGAGAGGGGGCCATCTAGGCTGCAGGATGGTGAGGGGCTGTCCTTAGATGATCAGAAATGGCTGGTGGGAGGAAGGGCCTGGCTCTGAGGGCCAGGGTGTGGATAGGCTGGATCTGGAGTAAGGTACCCCCTGGAGAGAGGTGACAGAAGGGTGACCTGAAGGCTGAGTCCTAGCTGAGCCCCTTGGAAGCTCTCAGTGGGGTAGTGTCTTCCCCAGTAGGAGGGGTAAGAGAGCAGAAGCAGAGACCAGGAGCCTCTTCCCGGCCTCCCAGGTGGATGCAGGATCCCAAAGCTTTGGGCCGTCCTCCACTGCCTTCCCGGGCCACAGGCAGGGAGCTGGAAGGGAAGCGGGGCTGCCAGGATTAGAACCGGCGCCCATATGGGATCCTGGGCGTGCAAGGCAAGGACTTTAGCCACTACACCATTGCACCGGGCCTGAGACCAGTTTTTTTTTTTAAAGATTTATTTGTTTTTTTTTTGAAACTCAGATACGCAGAAAAGAGGAGAGACAGAGAGGAAGATCTTCCGTTGGATGATTCACCCCCCAAGTGGCCACAACAGCCAGAGGTGAGCCAATCTGAAGCCAGGAGCCCTGAGATTCTTCTGGGTTTCCTACCCGGGTATAGGGTCTTAAGGCATTGGGCCATCTTGGATTGCTTTCCCAGGCCACCAGCAGGGAGCTGGATGGGAAGTGGGGCTGCCCGGGTTAGAATTGGCGCGCATATGAGATCCTGTTGCATTCAAGGTGAGGATGTTAGCCGCTAGGTTATTGCACTTAGGCCTAGAGACCAGGTTGTTTTTTTTTTTTTTTTTTTAGATTTATTTTTATTGTAAAGTTATATATATATGTATATGAGGAGAGACTGGAAGATCTTTCGTCCGATGATTCACTCCCTAAGTGACCGCAACGGCCAGAACTGAGCTATTCTGAAGCTAGAAGCCAAGAGCTTCCATCAGGTCTGTCTCAGCTGTAGGGTCCCAAGGCTTTGGGTCATCCTTGATTGCTTTCCCAGCTACAAGCAGGGAGCTGGATGCGAAGTGGGGCTGCTGGGATTAGAACCAGTGTCCTTATGAGATCCCAGCATGTGCAAGGCTAGGATTTAGCCATTAGGTCTCTACATCAGGCCTGAGATGAGTTTTTAAAATTACAATTTGGCCAGGTGGTGGGCTTATTGTGGCTACATGCCACCATCAAGTGCCTCGACCCTGGAGCTTGCGGAAAGGATGCTGGCCGCATGCGGAAAGGGACTTTGTGAGATGAATTAGGGAATTTGGAACTTTGTAATTAAAAACACTGAACACTTAAAAAAAATTAGTTTATTTGTTTACAAGGCAGATAAACACACACATACACACAGATCACCTGTCTTTAGGTACACTCCCTAAATTCCTATAGCAGCTGGGATTGACACAGATTGAAGCCCGGATCCTGGAACTCCATCTGGGATCTCCTGCTTGGATGTCAGGAACTCGGGTACTTCAGTCATCTTCTGCTCTCTTCCAGGGTGCATAGCAGTAGCTTGATCTTCCATCCACTGGTTTACTTTCCTTATGCCCACAGTGACCATAATTGGATCAGGACAAAGCCATGAACTAGGAACTCTAATGCAGGTCTCCTGGGTGG